AAGATGATGACATCTCACTGTCACTTCAACCAAATCAACTTTGAAATAACAGATGATTAAAGTGACATCATTCAATCTTTCATTTCAATTCAACTCACTTAATTTGAAGTTTTCGAAGTTTTTTCCTTCCAACCCATTCCCCTTAACATTGCTTCACCAAACGATTCTACAGGCATTGCAATGTATTCCTCAATTCCACTTTCTTTTGCAACTGAAACTCCATTTCTTCCTGTTCGATTTCTCTCCAACATTTGTTCCACCACCGATTTCCCTTTCTTCTTTTCAGGCAATGAAATGATCTTCTCCTCCTTCCGCTTCTTCTCTTCCTCTTGTGGTAATGTACTATTTATTACTATATTATACTATATTATACTATAAAATAAACTATATGTTAGCAACAAACTGAATGATAGACGAAGTGACTGGCTTCGATGGTTTTTGAACGTCGTCTTCGTCAAATAAAGATGACACTTTTTTAGCTTTTCGTTTAATGGAAACTTGAATTGGTTTACTCATCTTCTTCTGGGATTTTGTTGTTTTTTTGTTTTGATTGAAAAGCTATTTATAACAACATACCGATTGTTCTATTAATACCACAACGTTATGAAATGACACACATCGCTTTGAAAGAAATGGTTTTGTTGTAATAAATGGTAGAGGTGTATTTGTTATCAGTTTGTTATAAAATAGATAGAAATCAAACATAATACAATGTTGTGTTGTTATTTCATATTGTCATTTCGATTTCTTTTTGATAAAATAAGAATGCAAACTTAATTTAACAAAAACAGTTTTTTGAATACAACAACAATTTCTTTTTTGTTATAGCTCAATTTTTTTAAAAATTAAACAATAGTTTTTGTTATTGAGTTTTTGTTATTGAGTTTTTGTTATTGAGTTTTTGTTATTAGTTATTTTGTTATTATATTTTTTGTTATTATATTTTTTGTTATTATATTTTTAATATTTTTTTTTCGAAAACAACAAATAGGGTTTGAACTGTTAAACTGTAGGAACATGTCGAAAAGCGACGAATTCGAGTTATTTGAAGACAAAGTAGAAGAGAAAGAAGAACACCAAGCAGCATGGGAGGATGAGGAAGAAGAGGAGAAGGAAACATTTCAACCACGACAATATGAAGAGGTGTGGCAACGACATGAAGGAATAGAAGATGATGAAGATGATGCTGAATTATTGAAACCATCGAATCAACGAGAAGCTGTTGGTAAATCAAAAACAGCAAATGAAATTCTCGTGAAACGTTTACGAAATGTTAATTCCAAAAGAAATCG